CGAGCTATACGTCACGACGTCCGGGGGGTTTACTACAGGCCCAGTTGAGTGCTATGCGAGTTTTCAAAAATTACCGGTAAAGTGCAGTAGCTTACTATCCGTCTGAGGTCACCATTTGCTGAGTTTCATGGTTTTTGCTATAAATCGGGCTGAAATATTTGCGAATTTGTTGTGAATTGCATTTTCATGAGTTTTTGACCTTTAAAATTGCTCTTTTAAATTTTTTCTAGAGCACCAAGATTGAACAACTCATGCAACTACCTAATATATCTTCTTCCAAATTTCATATAATTTTAGAAAGTTGCAAAACACCTATTATTTGCTATTTGGTGTCCAGCTGGCAATAAAAATCGCGCCTCTTGACATACACCCCCTTGAAGGTACCCATCCTCACGCCCCCCCCCCCTCCCCCTCCCGCCCTCCCCTCCCCACCCTCACTCATTTATCCCCCTTACCTCCCCTGCCCACATTTCTCGAGCTAACCTGCATAAACGAATGTCAATCTCAAAAAACACCTGCGTGAAAACTTCAGTGAGGTTTCGGGAGCAGAATTTCTAGGCCAATGGGTGCGTCCATCGTCTGTAGCACACATACACACCTTTAATAATGTTTGAGATTCTGCAAGTTTTTTTTTTGAATTTTCAGGCATACTTCAGGCTAGCAAATTCGATTCCCGTAGGCGACACAAATTTTTGCATGGAGAAAAAAATGACATTCTTGAACTACAAAAGATGTTTTCGACTAAGAAGCTTACTTCCTACCTCTTTCACAGTTTTTTCCGCGAAAAAAACCGCTTGAGCGCCGTCCAGAACGACGTCAAAAACGTGCATAAGCACGGTAGTTTGAAAATTCGTAACTAAGACCAGGAAAAGACTGAGAGGCTGCAAAGCGCGTTCTGTAGCATAGTGCCCAGACTATTCAAAGAAAAAGTTTCAGCTTTTGAGGAGCAGTAAGCTCGAAAAAATAGATGCGACTCTCGCAAATTTAGATGCGATCCTAGAAAGCAAAAAGTGGGATTTTTGAGCTTGAAATTTTGTAACTTACCAGAGAAGTTATAAAACAGCCTGCAATTTTTACGAGGGAAAGTAGGAGGATGGCCTTATATTACAGCAGAATTGCAGCCAACATGCTTCAATAGCTCTGAAGAAATTTAGATGCGACCCAGATACGACCCCCCTCTCCTGACTTTTTGCTACCATACATAAAATCATAAGAAAATCCACAGTTGACAAAATAACACCGAATTTTGCACTGATATAGCGAAGCATCTCAAAAATACAGATAAATCATATGAGCCCGTAAAAAGCATTACAAAAAGATTTAGAAATTCATGATCGTCACAGCTGGTAAAGATATGGGATTTAGTCGAGTGTGTGAGAGTTCAGGAAGGCTTCAGAAGCAAGATTTCTAAGGCAATCGGTACATTTAGCATTTTTATCAAATAATACATCCTTCAAAAGTGTTTTGAGCTCTTGTAAATGTTTTTTTTTTGAATTTTTACAGATTTTTTATCTTTTTTATTCTGATTTCCACTTTTTTATAGATTTATTGTAAAGAACATAACTAATTGCTTGCTTTTTGATTCCCTTTGAAGCCTATGGTATTTTAGTCTAACTATCTCCTCTTACGACCCCCCCCCCCCCACCTTAGATACCCTCTTACGACCCCTCGTTGCGACAGTCGCATCACAAGCTTGACCCTGGATAGAATCCTTAGAGCTTTCCCACAACATAGCTTCTTCCAAAGGTTATGAAGAACATGCAGGAGTACCTAGGAGTATGAATGAAAAGCACCTCTTGATAAGCGAATGTTCAGCAGCTGAGAAGATAACATTCATCTCCGACCGATGAAGTAAGCTCAGCATTGCCGTTACAGTGCCTGAGGGAAGGAAGGGGGCACAAAACTCAGTTATAGAATTGCCTCCGTGCAATTTCAAGCCTTCGCAATCGTCTATATCATCGCACCTGCATCATCACGCCTAACTGCACTTTATCTCCTTAGGGCAGAGCCGGGGTTGCATGACCATTGGGGTTATTTACAAGATCCCCTGCGACGAGGAATGCATAGGTGAGATGGCGCATCCGCTTGTGTTCGCATAAAGGAACACTTGGATGGCAGGAATAAATTGCGCACATCCTCTCCCCCAAACACTCACGGGGTTCATGCGCGGACAAATTTAAAATAGAAAATTCTGGCGCACAAAACCACAAACCAGCTCGCAAATGCTTGAAAGCTCTTTGGATTTGTGCGAAACTTCAAGAATGAATTGCAAGGCGAAATGTCCAGCGATAACACATGAGCCCATGCCCTACCTCTTCCAACATAGTTTTCTACTATGAATACTGGTCCCCATATGCGGTCACTAGTCTCTCACTAGCGTCAAATCTCGTCGACGTAACCCAACAATGAGCGTTTGACTATAAGCTATTTAGCTAGCTAGCGATGCAACCGAAGTCTTGACATCTTGCGTACTTTGCTGCAAAGACGCTACCGAATAGATTTCAGATCGTGGTACCCATCTCAGGCTTTGAGATAGGCGATCTGCCGAGATGTTAGCCGATGAAGGGTTTTAACAATCTCGATCACAGTTTACGATCAGCGCAAATAAATCATTGATTGTTTATGAGCTCTTAAATTGCTACAAATTCCTATATTTCGGTTTACAGCCTTCAAAAGTATTTTGAACGGCAGCGCAATTTTGCCACTGCGCACACTAATGAGTAAAAGGCAACATGCTACTCAGACGGACGATACAAACTCCAACATTATCTTCATCCGCAGAAATTCTGCTAATTTTGATGCTCCAACTGTTTGTTCTCTTGTTTCTTTTTCTCGATGAGTACAAGGGAAGACTCTTTTTTGAAATCCTTTGTTTCCAGTAGTGCTGAGAACAGTCTATACTTTTGTACCACATAGACATTATATGTTTGACAAGTTGATTACGTATATATCTGCGTAAAACGTTCCAGTGTAGAGTTCTTCACAATCAAATTTTAAAAGTTTCTCGGGGTACTCTTAGCAGCCTGTGCATAACTCGCCTCCATCTTCAGCGTCAAAATAGCTAGCTACAGAAATTTCCATGTACAATTCCATTATGTAGCCTCGTAGTTGTGTTCGACATGCTCCTCTACAAACTACTTTTTGTCCACTTTTGAAACAAACTGAATGCTTAGAGCTGCGTGAAGTAACGGTTGTATCATCCATACTCAAGCTAGTCCATTCTCGGAGTGTCACTAGAATTCTATGGTGGGAACAAACTAGCCTTGTTAGCACTCCACACATGGTGGAGGCCCACAATCCAGGCATTTTGGTCTGGATTGTGGGCCTCCACAATGCCAAATAAAGTGCAGCAAAGCTGACTCACTTTTAGAACAAAAATTGAATCAAAAGCTAAATTAACCTTTTGAGACTAAACATCCATCACAACCTCTCAGACAATAATTAGATTGCTGATTTCTCGCACCCCGCTCGCGGATTTTTTGCAAAGCAATCAGGACTTTTCGGAAGACCGCTTGCTGAGTCAGCGGATTTTTGAGACCGCCTGTTAAATTTTTTTTCGCTCTTATCTTTTGCAGATATATTGCTGAATCTCTGAGTAACCGAGAGCTCAGCAAACGGTCTTCCGAAAAGTCCTGATTGCTTTCCAAAAAATCCGCGAGCGGGGTGCGAGAGATCAGCAATCTATTTTTCCGGTGCCCGCCTGCCCCCGGCGATTGTCTGAGCTGGTGCAACACTGCCTAGCTTTTTGAAGTACCCTAATTTTACGCGCATAAGACGCATTTTCTCTTCAACTTTTTGAGCGAGCCGCTCAGCAGCTTCACTGTGTTTCGGGTAGCTACCTCTATGCCGCATGACTCCCTTAGGCCTAAGGCATACTTCCCGTGATTTTTTTCCGCAACGTCCCGCGACTCGGCGATTTGCCAGATGTTTACAGAACAACCCTGCGCGGGTCTCAAATACATGAAGCTACCAGTGGCGGTCCCAGGATTTCCGTCCGGGGGGGGGGATTTTTTTTTCAAATGAAGGTGCGTGGGATTAGCCGCACTTCGAAAAAAAATTTTGGGGTGCTTTCTAAAATTTTTTCGGGCCCAAGACCAAGTCATTTGCACATTTTTATAACCCATGTAGGTAAGTTTCGAAAATTTCGCGAACCCAGTGGCGGACCGAGGGGATGCCCCCCTCTCCCCCGCCCCGTCCCCTCGGTCCGCCACTGGAAGCTACATATAGCTTAGCTCGGCACGTTGCGCCTCGACGCGGTTCAAACGACGGAAGTCTGATGAGGCATTTGGTCGTGTAGACTAACAGATGATTTGACTGCAATCTCTGTTCAGACCTCCGAAGAAGACGAATTTGTCGAAACTAAGGTCAATAAAGGTCCTTCACAACAACCCGGTTGGCCAGAACAGCAGTACACATATTCGATACAACATGCCCAGGTCACAAGATGAGAGTACCTGGGAAATAAACCTTAGCTTTTGTAAGACGCAAACGCATGAAATATGGCCCAAGCAAAGCGCGTTTACGGCCAGTTAAGAAAAGTCGTTGCAGTGCCAGATCGCGCAGAGACTGATATCGCGCGAGGTATGCCTTAGGCCTTAGGCCGAAAACACAACTCACGTGATTTCAGTCGTACGCGATTGGGCAATACTCCAGTTAGTCATAACTCCTCGTAAGGGGTTTCCGAACGTACGAGAGGTAGGACATTATATCAACCTATGAAATACGTGCTGTGCCTTTGTGGTCTAGGATTGAATTTAAAGCCATCTGGTAAATTGCCAGATCGCGTGGCTACTGGAATCGCGTGAGATGTGCCTTGGGGCTTGGGCAATACACAGCACGGTATATCCTTTAGTCGCGAAGTCTTTCGGCGTGTTTGGGCTCGTCGATTTCCTAAAAAATTCCATGCGCCTTGTAAGCGTAATGATAGGGTATTATCTAATATCTAAGATCATATAAAAAGTGGGAAAAGTACTTTTAGCAACATATCAACTACAAACTCGTTTTACATGTTCTGCTTTATACCAAATGACAGAACTGTGTAAGATTCGTAATCCCGGAAGCCAAGGAGATCTTGGTTATCTATACAATGACAACAAAGTTCAAATGTACAATTTGCATTACATGCAGATTTACTTTTCTAATTATCTGCTCTGCTTTCTGTTCGATAGTGTTCGAGATCCATGATCGCTAGTGAAGATTAGTCCTTCTGTAAAAGAACAGCTATGTATGGATATAGGAAAAGAAGATGCTAACTTACCTTTTTGTGACTCATTTTTTTTCACCAAATAATGAAATCGTAAAGATCCATGTTTCAAAGCAAATTACAAAGAGTCGACTTGTCTCACAACGATTTTGTGATAAGGCTTGCACATCCTGGCGATGGGCACAAGAGCTAGCTGGAATATCTTGAGCTCGAGCAAGGACCAGTCAATTTTCGCATACTGGAGGTCTTACCTCAGATGGGATTTGTGCCTCGCCTTCGGGCGCCGTTAGAAACAGCGCATAGTCGCCTTCTGGTTCCTTACGATTCATACGAAGCAGAATATCAATTGCCTCGTCGCATGTCGTTTCGTCGGCAAGTAGCAATGACTTGTAGTTGGACTAGAATTTCAGAATATTATACTATTCAAAGCGCACTTACATGTGCAATAGCATTTTATTGCAAGATCGCATAATGGTTTGCTGTTCATGGTTTGGAGTTAGTTCATCAAACTGTATATGAAAAATCTAAAATTTGCCACTTAGCAGTTCAGGCTTTGTACTATTAGGTCGATACGAAATTGATGTATGCTCCCTTTGCTGGCAGCAGAGTGAAAAAAAATTACTCAAAAAATTTTAATCTAGAAAGCAAGCAGGCTAAGGTGTCACGGGAACATCAACAAAGAAGCTTGAACATCCGTAGAACTTTAACTACTTAAATATTGAATTTCTGTCTAAAACATTTTTACAAACCTCCAACTTCAAACGCTCAAAAAAAATTCGGCTCCACCTAAAACATTCATAGGTAAACTTGCTGCATTTTTTGCACAATTAAAAATCGAAAAAAATAATACTTGACATCTCTTGCCAGAGCAATGCTGGCCCGTTCCCACAGCGATATTTCCACAATCAAACTTTGCAATAACCACCACAGATTTCTGGCAGGTGTTAAAAAGCAGGTGGTGACTGTAGAAAAATCAGTCGAACAAGACCGGAAAACTACAATTTCGTATTATTGACTTATTTGTCATTTTCTACCGTGGAGAATATGCAGCAAGTCTCGTGTGAATGTCTGATGTGGAAAGTATATGCGTAGCAAATTGGATGTCCATAGGATTTTTTTGTGGAAGTCGGATTTTTGGATTTGAGAATTTTTTTTTTGTTTTGGCGTTAAACTTCAGGTGGATTAGCCTTTTAACGGATTTTTAACCCCATTTTGTAGAGACATTTACGTTTATCTGATGGTGCTCCTTACTCAGTTCTATCTACTACGGTGGCAGGATGAACATGCATTTTTTTTGCACCAAGCTAACACGCTCTGTTTAGTCTTGTAAGTTTCTACTAGACTCACAAAAATATCCGCAATGCTCATAAACAACCGGGAAAAATAACTAGCTCTGTCAAAAGACATTAACCTTAATTCAACTGGCGCCTGCCGTCATCTTTTGCCAAGATGCATAATCACTTTATTCGCCTTGAGTGGCAATACTTAAAGGCAGCGTCCACCCAGAATTTAACCCCCCATGTTTTCGTCATTCTGGGGCCTTTCCGTGGCCGTGATTACAGTTCCGAACTTCAAACTCTCTAAAATTCACAAAAAACCCGATTCTTGGGGACCCAGCCTTGAGGGCGCGGACGAGTTTTGAATTGCTCGTCCCCGTCGGCAGGCCAGCGGGAAGGAGCTGCAACTGCATGGGTGCAGTTGCATTGTAGGTGTGCAGTGTGCAGCTTCTGCTCACTACCTTGTCAATACGTGTCGGGAGGCACGTATTGACAAGGTAGTGAGCAGTCCCTGATGGGCGGAGTCTGATATCAGACCCCGCCCAGCCAGGGACTTTCAGGCCCCTTATCTCCATTCAGAGACAACGTTAGAATACCGGATCAACGCAGATGCCCCTTTTCTGGGGCCTAAATTCAGGACCGACACTAATCGGAGGGGATTAGGTTTAGCCTGGACACTGCCTTTAATGGCAAACGCCGCTTAGGTAAACACATTCATTACGCATATAAATTTCTCTTTGTTTACAGCCATTTGCCATTTCAGTTTCATGCTTACGCATACTCATCTAAGAATGGAAATTGAGAAATTGCTTGGGTTAGAAAAAATAGTAAAGATTGAATTATTGCATCAGGATTAACCATCTAACTACTTGAAAAGCTTCCACAACTTGCTCAAGTTATTACTGGGGCTTAGCTATGGCAATTACGCGAGTCTTCCTTTTATATACTACCAATTATCGTAATAAACTGTAGCACTTACATCAGATGTTATATTATGATCGTGCACTCTGACCAACGTTCCCTCCGAGATCATGTGAAGTATAAACCGCGACATGCCAGCAGGATGACATCTGTAAAATCATGGCTCAAAAAACTCGCCAAATGGTCCATCATAATGACCTTTGCAACTCTAGCGGTCGATCGGACGGCTCCAATCTCAAGGTTGTCCTAACAATTTTACCAATGCCTTTAGTGGTGACCTAAATGTTCACTCTTCAATTTTCGCCTTTCTCGCCGCAAAATGTTCACCTCCATCCACAACTCAAACAAATTCACGTCCTTGCACGAGATCTTGAATTTGCCGAGCACGGTGCCGATCACAGATCGCGTTGTGCATTGTGTGGACACCCGAATTGTCTTGTAGTCGGTGCAGGCTTTCACATTGCTAGTGTAAACCCGCAGTGTCCCCTAAAAGGGAGCGTTTGGAGTGGTCCCAATTTAAAAATCTCGAAAGAGAAAGTACCCAATCGCTTTCAGAGTTTGCGCTGTCCACTGAATTCAGCGACGCCAACGAGCTGCTCCGGGTGCTCAAAGACGCATCCTGGCTTGAAGAAGAAGGGCTACCGTAAGCTGATGGTCGAGTGCTCGACCTTACTTGGTACTTCAGCATTATCTGAAAAATTTAGATTAAAAAAAATGGAAAAAGTGATAAAGCGCAAGCGCGAGATCTACTTGGTCAGTATAGGAAGTTCGGTAAGGTAGTAAATTGATCTAAATCGGAAGAAGAATATTTTAATCTCATCAGTGAATGGAATGAGAGAGGAAAGATGGATGCTGTTATTAAAAGTAACAACGAAGTTTAAGGATGAGAATAAACAAGACCATTGCAGTTGCTATGGTATCAAATGTTTGTGGAGGAAATTACTCCAAGTAAGAGCATAAGATTGGATGTTATAAATAAAACACAGAACTGGTAGTTGTAAATAAAACTGACAGGTGGTGAGAATAACTAAAAGAAACTGAACTGAAGATTTGCCGTATTGTATGCGCAGGCCATAGGCTTGCGAATGGTGGAGTCACGCTAACAACTAGTCAGTCGATGACTTAACGGACAAAATGAAGTCGAGAAGCCACTAGTTTGTTGATTTTTGTTATTTAGTATGCATCGCAAACGTTACGCTGATTGATGCGTAACATAATAAAGGTATTGATGACTAACAAAAATGGGCTTGTTCGTTTTCGACACTATCTGCATATTGAAAAAAAAAACAGGAAAAGAACGGCCTGATAGGATTTGCATGAGAGTAATGATATTTATCAGTCAATGAAAGTCAAGGTTGAAAGAATATGTAGACATTTTTACTCCTTCATTACAAGAGGTTTTGAAAGAATCTTTGGGGAGGAGGAGGCGTTTTCATGGAAGGAATCATTTTCGATGTAGGGGGACGCATTCCGAATTTTTTTTTGCCGACCCAGAGATTAGAAAAAGGAGAATGGCGGTCAGGTAATTCAAAAAATTTTTAATTCTAAAAAATCGTTCACAGTGAAAACAGATAATTCACACTTGCTTGTGAATATAGACCACTTTCACGAATTTTATGAGCCTATGCCCTCTCCCATGTTCGCCACTACAAAGATTGACTCGCCGAGCACAGCAATGGAAGATCATAACATTGGAGAATCGTAGCAAGATAATAGGCAAACTGTTCCAAACAGCAATGGATTGGAAGAATAGAATGCTCACTAAAAGGCTGATGAAGCCGGCATAAGAAGCTGGGCGAGATGGCGATTTATAATAGTACGTGCTGCCCCTAGCAAGACGAGATTTGCACTGAGAGCGAGAAGAGCCTCTATGACCAAACCAGCAAGGCTAGGTTTTCCTTGTTCTGAGCTCGTTGAGTACAAGAGGTTGAAAGAACACATAGCATGCAATGGACCGTCAATCGTCAAACCAGATTTTGGTTCTCGATCTCGTCATGATCTACAGCTTTTATGAAGCTAGCACACCTTGTGTCATCGCAAAACCACACTTAGATGACACTTCAAAGAGCGACCAGTTGCCGTCTGGCTGGTACATACCATTTTGGCATATAAAATCCAGTTTTAGTGTTTCTACTATTTACATTCATAGATCGATAAGTTGATGACACAAGCTTCAAGAAAATTTGTGTAGACTGAATTCTACAAAAGAGTAAGACCAATTACATTATTTCATTTTTACTCCTTTGGAAAAAGCTGCATGCATGAGAAAAGTTCACAATCAAGAACAAGAGAAACTTTAAGGACTTTGTGGTTCGCGTCAAAGCGCAAAAAAATACTTCTGACTTAGCATAAGGTAAATATTGTAGAGCGAGGATTTGAGGGCTTGAGGAATGGAACAAACACTAATCTGAAATCGAAGAACTTTTATTATGCAAGCTGCAGGTGCATGACTCTGGATGGTTGCTCTTTCGCTAAATTTCTACAAATTCTTATCAGTCGCGTGCCTATATGGATACAAAGGGAAAATAGAATGGAGAGCTAACACCAAATACATAGCGTGGGAATGGCTTGCAGCACACGAATAGAATATGAATTTGCGAAATTTGTGATGAGTTTTAGTAGAATGAGAAAAACATTTTCAGCAAGTCATAAAAGTGCATTGGAGATAAAAAAGTCATTATTTTATACTGCCTATTCTACTTTCATGGTGTGATTTCCACGAGAGCAATCACGTTTCGATATAAATACCACCCGTAATTTGTGAAAAAAATGGCGGCGGCAGTTAACTCACGCGGCGCCGCCGCAGTTAGGTGACAAACGCAGCGTCGCGCGACAAGAGCCGGCGGAAAAGCGGCATTTGCCGCCTAACTTTGCCGCGCATCGCCTAACTTTTTTATAAAAAAAGACCTTATTTTGATTCAGAATTTATGAATTCTATATATAAGAGTACCATTCAACTCAGCTCGGCGAGGCGCATCTTTCAGTATACGATGTGCCTAGTTGTGGGATAAAAGTTTTTTTCCTGGAATTTTAGTGTAAATGGATCATTCAGTGTGCTGATTCCAGAGGCTACATACACGTTCTGTTGAGCACTGCAGAAATAGGGCAGGTATAGTTTAAGAGTTCATTCTGCATGGATATGTGTGAAACTGGGCTTTTCTCGGCGAAGTATGACGGGTCCCAAAATGCAGGAAGACAAAGGGAAATGGTTGGAAATCGCATGAGAAGCACATATCGCGGAATGCCGCGCGTGCTGTGCAATGTACAATACCACCCACAAAACGGGAATTTCGCGAAATTTCAAAAATATCGCAATTCCGGAATATCATAAATCATGCAGCGCCATAACTTCCTTCGGAATGAATATATTCTAAATCCGAAAGCAGCATTGTGTTCAGCTCGTCAAGGCGAATCTTTCGACATACTTACTGTCATCTATATTGTTTCCAGTTTTCTCAAATTGTTCTGAGGAGATCCCTTTGCAAGTATGTAACGCAGCGCCTATTTTTATTCCTTTGGAAAAAGCTACTTTATGCATGAGAAAAGTTTACAATCAAGAACAAGAGAAACTCTAAAGACTTTGTGGTTTGCGTCAAAACGCAAAAAGATACTTCTGACTTAGCATAAGATAAATATTCTAGAGCGAGGATTTGAGGGCTTGAGGAATGGAACAAACACTAATCTGAAATCGAAGAACTTTCAATATGCAAGATGCAGGTGAAGTGGGGAGATCCAGAAACGAGAGAAAATTCTCTATATATATAAGATACATGACTTTGGATGGTTGCTCTTTCGCTTTCCGCAACTCCCGAAATTTCTACAAGCTCTCATCATTCGCGAGCCTATAGATACAAAATAAGACTAGAATGGAGCGCTATCTCTTCAATGTAGTAAAATTATAGAGCACAATCTGAAGTGGAGCCGTAAATTTCTCAGTACCCCAAAATTAACCAGATATGCGACCAACTAGATTGAAGGACAATAAGATAAAAGTTGATACCTCGTTTTTTTGTTTGCGAAAAAGGTACTCTATTAGGGTCTCCAGCATTAAAAATATTGTCGCTGATGATTGTAAAATGAACTAATAAAAAATCACTTACGCTTGTTGAGATACCAAAGGATTGGTCATTAATTCTAAAGCAGATCATTGCACAGCCTAAGGGAGATGAAGATAAGGTTGAAAATGCTTTGTGTATGCTTTTTGCACTGCTTTATATTGCGTCGTGTTTGATATTGCATATTGACAGACTTTTAAGATGCGTCACACGGTCAGAAGCAAATTTTGACAAAAGCATAAGCCATTTATTGTGCTAAATATGAAATGTCATTGATAATCACAACACGTCATAATCTGACGTTATTGTGAAAAAGAGCAAGCAAGCGGAAGGAGGGAGAGGGGCAGTGCAGAATAGGATGCTTTCATAATAATGCTCAGGTAGGCAAGTGTATGGAGAGAAAAGGGAAAGTGTTGTTTCAAGTGAATGAATGAGTGCTACAAATCCAACAAATCAAAAAAAAAATGTGGCATGAGCGAATTTTCTATTAACATCAGTAAAGTTTACAACGATTTCCGTTAACGTTCAAGATACTTTCTCCCAATCCTACTTTTTTGAGCCTGCGCTCAAATGTGCTACTCTGTGTTGCCTGTAAGCTCAGGAACATACTATAACAATTTCAAAACATTTGTCTATTTCGAAAGTTGTCCTCGCTTTGAACATAGGATATTTACGATTGAGCAGTTGCTTACTTTTTGCTGAGTTGTTCATTGAAATCATACGTATAATATAGCCAAAAACTTACCTTTATGTACTTGAAACTTTATGATTTATGGACAAATACTAGGGTTCTGAAGTAGGGCTTGCTGTATATTCCAAAAGCTCTCGGAGAACGTCGAAAAAATGTGAAAAGTTGACGATGCAGCGCACAAGGAACAAAGCAAGAATTATGGCCAGCAGCTTTTGACTGATGTAATATGATTTTGAAGTGAAGGTACAACCATTATAAAATGCACTTATCTAAATTGTGTGATACACAGGCCTGAAAAAGAAAACTCAAATCATTTTACCACCACAAGATCAAAAACAGCTAAGCACTGTTGACCACTCCTTTCGCTCCCAAAGAATATGTTACATATGTTACATTAGCAAAGACACAAACGGTAAGAAAAAGAATGAGTTACACTTTATGCACTGCACCTTTACAAAGTAAAGAGTCCAAATGAGTAAAGAAAATCAAGCTCTACATTGCAAGAGTTATAAATCAAAGGCGAGATTTAACAAGAAAGCAATGCTAAAAATTTAGTCAGAGCAAAATACGAAACTGTTCAAGAAATTGTCTTCATTGACGTTGGCGGTAGAAATGCAGACACTCCGAGAGTTTTGGAGTGTATGTTCTGTAAATCATCACGAGTAAGACGGGGCTAGTGCATGGTTCAAATTCTATTGAGAATTATAGAAAAAAGTGAAGTTATTTGTTAAACTTATTTGTAGAGATGTAGTTGTCATAGTCTTTCCTCAGAAAAATGCACTGTTGTGAAACATATCGATACTGTAACGAGCAGTGAAGCACTTGTTGAGGAAAATAATCTCTATCCCACCCCCAAGACGAAGTATGTAGCAAATGTTCACAGATGTGAAATTGTCCCATGCAGTCCTATCGTCATATGGAAGAAGTAAACCGTAAGTGGAGTCATAAAGTTAAAAACTTGCCGACTACTGTGAGAAAAACTTGCCCCTCTCAATGGGGCGCGGCAAATCTACACAGTTACTGATGCTGCTTCACCTAACAGTAAAAATGCTCTGCCAGCGGACTTTTTAGTCTTAGTGGAAAATGACAAAACATATCGCACCGCTTCAACTTATGGTAATGAAAGGGAGCGGAACGCAGATTGTGCAACATTATTGTTGCTCTAGATTCTCTGATTATGTTCGGGCCGGTTTTATAACTATAGCTTAGCCTAAAGATACAACTTTTATTAGTCTAATAAGGTCTTCTTTACATTCTTAGCTCACAAAACCATTGCGAAAAACATCGAACGCGAATCTTACCTAGCTGTCGATACGACGATTGCCAAAGCAAAACTAGACCGAAGTGACACAAACTTTAACAAACTTTAACTTGAAATGAGAACTTAAGTGCTGATGCTAGATAAACAAAAACTCAAAGAGACTTGGTTGAAGTGTTGAGAAAAAACTTGCACATTGGATATTGATATTAGCAAACTAGATTTGAAGTTCTTGCGACTATAGCACCTTTCAAGAAAGAAACATTTTTATATTCAAGTGTCACATGAATTTGCTCACAATCAAGACTTGATGGTTTTCCGTGGATTTTTAAATGCTGTGTCTGGCCCAGTGGGTAACAATCAGTTTTTGATGGGTTTGCACGTTTGAATGCAACGCGAATCGGATTACCTACCCGTATCAGTAAAAAAGGGATATTTTGTTGTTCCTCATGAAAATCAGCATAAAAACAATTCTAGAACAAAACATCAAGTCAATAAACCACTTAGCTCTGAGTTCAAAATAGCTCATAAATGATCGAAAATTAGTTAAAAATTAGACTTGGTGTAATTTTCTACGTTACAAGAAACCGGCCCCAAAAAGAAGCTCCACTTTATCAGAGAAAAAGGTCGAGGTGCTTGCATACCTTCGATAGTCTAGAGACAGGGCGCCAAAAGTGAAGGTTGTTTGAAGATCTGACGTCATTAATAGTGAAGGTTGTTCAACGAAATCAGAGAAGAGGAAATGACGTGAAACAGATATAAAAAGCAAAAGAAATTGCTGAAAACCGGATAAAAGCGCTGCAATGAGGCTTGAAATCTTCTATTTGGCGGCTTTTCCAAGTGCAATTTTTCGCAAATCGATGCGTAAGCACTGAAACAGAACAAGGTTGCGTGAGAGTTAAACTACGAAAAAAACAAGAGATTTTTGAAAACAAGGTTTTTGCCGGATTTCTCGGTCAAATCATAAAATGTGATTCTGGGACGGTGTCAGCGTGAAAATAGAGATCAAGAGCTTCAAAATGATATATAGCTTGCTAAAATTTGTTCGAAACAGCGAAGAAAAGGGTACCAGAGCCAAATGCCCCGCGCCCCGCTTTTAGGGTAGCGAGGTAGCGCCCAGCGCGCGGTGACGCAGACGAGCAGCGGAGACAGACTAGAGCCGGCGGGGCATTTGGCTCTGGTAGTAGATCTCCACGGGGTCTCCACGAAACCCTGCAACATTATATATCATTCTGATCGCCATGACAAGACGAGGAGCATAGGAGATAGACCAGCGTTTTCTTGCGCGACTCTCTACGCAAGATTCAAGCGCAGTTTCTCGTTTTTATTCAACTCCAATAGTTTTCTTAAACTTCTGAAACTAGGTTTTGGTCAAATGAGAGGTCAAGTGAGAAACTTTGTCCCAAATTCTGGCGAAATTTCCACAGAAACCTTCTTTTTAACGTAAAAAAAGGTATGAAAACTAAGTTCTCGGTTTCGCTGAGATAAGCTGAAGATATTATTTCCTATATTTGCTTCATTAACATTCGTTCCGATATAATCAGGATAATAACATCCGGGGCTTTACCCCGGATGAGTTCTGTTTTTTTCCAGGTGAAGGTTGTGTCCCCACATAGCCCTCAAAGCGAAGGTTACCAGAGTACGTGGCTCTAAGTATCGAGGGTATGGGTGCTTGTAAGAGACCGGCGTGGCATATGAGTACTGGAGTTAGATCCGTGCTTGAAATGGGAGAGAAAAAGGAAGACAAGTAAAGCACAATAAAAGAACAAATCTTCCACGTTTCGTTTTAGCATTGACTTTCCGGCTTTGTTATTTTTGCACCTTGCATCAACCAAATTTGACTAATGCGAAAAACTTAATTTTATGGCAAATTCCGAAAATTAGTGATCACGAAATATATAGGTCTCAATACCATAAGACAATTACGCCTGGACATTATCAACAAATTTGTAATCCACGATGTCACTGAACTTCACTGGATTATAAGATGCCTCTACGTCTACGGAATTCATAGGAGCACGTGCTATTTGTTGCCTAAGAATCGCTTTGATGAATGAAATTGCAATGAAAATGTGATTGTCCTGATTGCCTAGAATTCGGCCAAGGGGCGGAGGCTCGGAGGCAGAAGCGGAGAATGCCGAAATGATTGATGAGTGTAGTCGAGTTCAGAAAAAAAAACATGTGGTAATTAGACCGAGCACCCACGAGTAATTAGTTTGGCGTGGGAAATGCTCCCTCTTTCATTCCCCACAGGGCCAGCGCGAGATGGCGTATGAGAAATTCAAAAACGAAGTCCCCCTTGACATTGCAGAAAAATACGAGACACCTTTTGTAGTGTCTGTAGAAGTTCATCGAATGATCTGCAAGAAAAAAAAAGAAATTGAGGTGAAGAAAAAACAAGAAATAAGTCAAATTCTGTTAAGAATTGCAAAAGAAGCTTTTTCATATTTTGAAGAGCCGCAATAAAGCACATATGAAGAAACTTGGGTTAAGGTAAGTACTTGTAGGTAGATCTTGATCTGAAGAATAGATTTATGTGAAAAAATCTGGAAATTTATGTGAGGATGGGAAAAAATCGTGAAGATTCATGACTTTGTGTGGTTCCGCGCAACCTCAGGATGCTCCCCGGTTGCGCGGGAGCAACCCAAAATTGAAAAACACCTATATTTTCTCGTCCACATAATTTTATCATAAATTCTCATACTTTTCATCGCCGCGGATGTACACACCAAATTTGGTGGTTTATATTGCTTACTCTTTTAAGCAAACCGCTTGTTTACATTCTGCGTAAAGATTGTGTTTTAACACCTCAAAATCGTGCGCACACAGGTTTATGCACCATTGGTCATGTCTCTAACCTGTTAATTTACCTCTAACTGCTAAAATTACGTTAGACAATCAAACTTGGCTTGCTGAGAGTTAGAGTTGTGCTTCCTAATATTTCATCAAGTTGCGGGGTGGAAACTACGGGTTCCCCTTTGGCTTCCCCACGATAAACGACATCCAGTGGTGGAAACACCACCTCTGCTAAGCTCTGTCCCCATTCTTTTTCAATCAAACTGTTGTACCTTGTCATTTTCGATTCCTACAAACTATCTTCTCTCCTTCTCCTGTAATTTCGCATCTGTCAAGTTGGAATCAAACAGAGAATTATTACTAAAACACAGCATTTTCGGATTAAACTCAATCCAAAAATTTTATAATTTGTATTATGTTCTCTTTTTGTCATCTTGCCCTTACGAGATGATTGAAATCGCAAACACATTCTAGGTGCCAATATTTGTTTCTCCCAATTCAACAACGCAATAATTCGCTCACACATGCTCATCAAGGACGTTTGCTTTGCCAGTGAGCGTACCACTCGCTTTTCCCTGAAAAATTAGTATGTAGCGGAAGGAAAAAACACAACGACGATTTCATTACACATTTTACCAGGTATTTTTCTCAGCGAAAAACTCGGGTTGAAACAGCCCGAGTATGGGAAACTAATGATGTTTTTGTTTCATCCGTGACAGCGAAGTGAAGGAAAAAATCTAGAGCAGAGCATCACATATGCAGATATTGTCACTCCTTAGTTACAGTGGCGGTGCGAGAGTTTACTGCCCCTTCCCCCTCTCTCCCAAAAATTCTTGCATGTGATGCTTTCCTTTCGATTTTTACCTTTACTTCGTTGTCACTGAACCATCATTTTTCTACGCGAAATATAGCCGACCATTTTTTGCCCCCAAAAATGCACCATTTTCCAAGCAAATGATTTTGAAGCCATTTTGAGTTCTCTTACAAATTTTGACTGATGTGCAGAGAGCAGCAATGCAGGATTGTAACAATGGAAAATCTATGGCAAGATAATAGCAAACTGTTCCAAACAGCAAAAATGGAAGCATAAGATGCTCATTGAAAGGCTGATGAAGACGGCATAAGAGGGCTAGGCAAGATGGCGGTTTATAATAATACGTGCTGCCCCTAGCAAGATGAGACTTGCACTGAGAGCGGGAAGAGCCTCTATGACCAAACCAGCAAGGCTAGGTTTTCCCTTGTTCTGAGCTCGTTGAGTACAAGAGGTTGAAAGAACACATAGCACGCAATGGACCGTCAATCGTCAAACCGGATTTGGCTCTCGATCTCGTCATGATCTACAGCTTTTATGAAGCTAGCACACCTTGTGTCATCGCAAAACCACACTTAGATGACACTTCAAAGAGCGACCAGTTGCCATTCTGGCTGGTACATACCATTTTGGTATATAAAATCCAGTTTTAGTGTTTCTACTATTCACATTCATAGATCGATAAGTTGATGACACAAGCTTCAAGAAAATTTGTGTAGACTGAATTCTACATAAGAGTAAGACCAATTACATTATTTCATTTTTACTCCTTTGGAAAAAGCTGCTTTATGCATGAGAAAAGTTCACAATCAAGAACAAGAGAAACTTTAAGGACTCTGTGGTTTGCGTCAAAACGCAAAAAGATACCTCTGACTTAGCATGAGATAAATATTGTAGAGCGAGGATTTGAGGGCTTGAGGAATGGAACAAACACTAATCTGAAATCGAAGAACTTTTATTGTGCAAGCTGCAGGTGAAGTGGGGAGATCCAGAAGCGAGAGAAAATTTTGTATATATAAAATTCATGACTTTGGATGGTTGCTCTTTCGCTAAACAAATTCTTATCAATCGCGTGCCTATATGGATACAAAAGGAAAATAGAATGGAGAGCTAACACCAAATACATAGCGTGGGAATGGTTTGCAGCACACGAATAGAATATGGATTTGCGAAATTTGTGATGATTTTGAGTAGAATGAGAAAAACATTTTCAGCAAGTCATAAAAGTGCATTGAAGATAAAAAAAAAGTCATTATTTTATATTGCCTATTCTACTTTCGTAGTGTGATTTCCACGAGAGCAATCACGTTTCAATATAGCACTCAAAGTGAATTACTTCAGTGGATCGTGATAAGATCGTTAAGAGTACTTCTTGAGTAATACTGCTCTGTTAAGTATTCCTCTTGAGTTGAACTTTTGAGTGAATTCTTGAAAGATTCTGAGTTGTTCCAGTTTCCTGTCTAAGACCAAGGAACCCTTAGCCTACCATTTCTTAGCTAGGCAAAGACTACCATGCGATAGATCAAACAGATTCCAAAAGAAGCTATCAAATATTGATACAAAGTATCCATAAAACACCACTAACTATTCCGAAGTCTCTCCATAACAGAGCACAATCTGATGTGTCGTCATAGATTATTGTTTATGTACCCCATCCATAAAATCAACGGGATATGCAATTCATCTAAGTTAAAGGACAATAAGATAAAGGAAAACACCTAACGAGCTAGATAATTCTGCCTTTCTGTTTGAAAAAGGCGCTCTATCACGGGCTTCATCAGAAAATATTGTCGCTGATTATTGTAGGATGAATCTGAGGGGGGTACTTACTCTTCAAGTTATTCTTGAGGATCCAAACCAATAGGCACTACTTCTAAAGCAGATCTGCAAGCCTAAGAGATATAGTTAACATAACACTGCGTTTATGCATTATGCACTGTTTTATATTGTGTCGTGTTTGATATCGCATACTGACAGATTCTTAAGATGCGTCACGATGTCAAAAGCAAATTTCACAAGAGCATGAGCCATTTGTTGTGCTGAATATGAAATGTCACTGATAATCACTAAAAACGTCATAATGTGACGTTATTGTGAAAAGAGCAGACAAGCAGAAGGAGGGAGAGGGGGCACTGCAGAATATGAAGCTTTAGTAATAATGCTCCAAGTGTATGGGGACAAGAGGGAAAGTAGGAGTGTTATTTTATGTGAATGAATGGGTGTTACAAATTCAAGAAAATTAAAAATCGGGTATGAGTTGATGTATAAAAGTTTATGAGACTTTTCGTTGACGTTCAAGATACTTTCCCACTCCCACTTTTTTTCGAAACTACGGGCCCGAATGTACTATTTGGTCTTGTCTGGAAGCCTCAAAAACAATACTCTCAAAATTTTAGAACATTTGTCTAGCTCGAAAATACCCCACGCTCTGAACATAAGACATTAACGCTTCTCAGTCGCTTACTTTTCTCGCTGATAGATCCCTTAAAGGCAGTATCCAGGCAAATGTGGGCGCATGGGTTCCCCGCTTGAAAATTGATGAGGGGGTCCTAACTAAGGCACTGCCCAAGAGGCAGCGCAAATTGTTCATTCACGGCTGAGAAATCCGCCCCGAAAACCATGCATCTGCGCCGTGACCGTGGCCCGAAAACGACTTTGCTCACTTTAACAGTACGTTCGCGCTGGGACCCATGCTAGGTGTTACGATCGCGGGCAGCCGCTAAATGTTTGGGGACGGATTTCTTAGCCGTGAATGAATAATTTGCGCTGCGGTTTGGATAGTGCCTTAGCTGGAACCTCTTCATCAGTCTCCAGGCTAAAAACCCATACGCCCAGATTTGCCTGGACACTGCATTCAAAGCTATATAGATGACATAGTTAAAATTCTGCTTCTACTTTGAGATTATATTACTGCATAAAAAACCATTGCTGTATATCACTCAGAAGCTCTCGGAGGACATTCGAAAAATTGTGGAAAGTTGACGATGCAGCGCAAAAAGAAAAAAAGCAGGAAATATGGCCACCAATTTTCACGACTTTGTAACATGATTTCGAAGCGGAAGGTTACAACCATTATAAAGCGCACTAATTAGGTTGTTGCATGACTTGCGTTCGATTTTTTTTGCCTTATGTTTAAAGCATCTGTTCTAAGAGAATTTCATCTCCAATGCGGTATTGTTAGCATCATTAGAAAGTGCTTTTCTTGCGCTTCCTAAAGCATATCAAATTTCAATAAATTTTTCAGCGTAAGGGGATTTCAGGCGTAAAATCTCTAAGTGGTCGAGGTACTTCTCACCCTAAAAATATGTTCTTGCGAGGAAATCTCCACAATGCGGGTCAGGTCAAGTTTTCAATTGGTTGCAGAATAAAGGTGTAATAGGCTAGCATACGCATAAGTTCAGTTTCATGAAGAAAACGTCTTGCTGGTAAAATTTATTGTCAAACATTAATTTTTTGTATAGATGTTTTACAAGCTATAACTTTCTGCGTAGAAGTAATCGACGACTTCAACGTTGGAGGTAGCAAGGGCTAGCAGAGACCATCCAACAATTTCTTTTCGGCGCTCACGTCAATTGTAAAATTTTCATAATTCGTAAATAGGCATGCACACATGCGCTGAAGCGAGGTCAAAAAGTGACTAATTTTTTGTTCGGTCAAAAAATCTCTCGGCAACGCAGATCCTATGGGCTCTTTTATGGCACAATGATCTGCGAAAAATTCTTTATCTATTCATTGTTGGACAAGATGCTTATCAATTCTCATAAGGAGCATTGCCATATCAAAAAAATCAGGTTTGAAGAAAAACGCTGTGAAGTTTTTGAGTTCTCGCTTCTTCCTTAACATGGATTTTCGCAGGTTTCAATAAATATCTGATAACGAAGGAATTGCTTAACACATGGAAACTAACAAGGAAACGATACTCAATGTCCGTGGCCTTTCGAGAAGTGATTTATACCATTACACTCGTTTTCGAACGCTGATTCCGAATCTGCCTTCCGTTTCTGCTAATCGTTTCTCTGAAAAAAGTTATGGGGGAATTTCGAGCCAAGTTTGGCTGCTCAAGGGAAATATGGTCATTGGAACGGCTTCTACCGCGGCCACTTTCTGGTCTAGTGGTTAGTGCGATAGCCTTATAAGTTGATGCAGGTGTAGGTTCAAATCTTTTTGTGTTTTTACTTTTGTATTACCTCAATTAAGCTTGTTCGAGAAAATTTACTTGAACTATGACCATTGAACACAATTTAGCGCAAATACTAGTCATTTTTTCCAAATTTTTACATTTTTTGAAGAGTAAGGGCGTTCACTTAGCTCGATGATGCGAAAGAAGGTTAATTGGGGCAATGCAAAACTGGAAAACACAAAAGGATTCGAACCTGCAATACATCAACTCAAGAGGCTATCGCACTAACCATTAGAACACAGTGCACCGTTGGCGCGGGCGCTCCGATCCTATTTCACGGAACAGCCAGAATCCGCGCGATCCATTATAACATTTTTGAAGCGATTAGCAGAAACAGAAATCAGATTCGGAATCAGTGTTCCAAGACGAGTGTAATGATATGCATATCATCTCAAAAGGCCACGGACACCGAGTATCGTTTCCTTGTAAGATCTTGGAAAAAAGTTGACTTTGAAAGAAGTTATGACATTTTGAACTCAAAAAATTCAAATCGGACAGAACTTATGCAACAACCTAATATCTAAAAGATTGGGTGGTGCCCTGAGAAAGAAAACTTAAACCATTTTACTACCACAAGAACAAAAACAGCGATCACCGTAGCACTCAGCCCTTTCGCTTCCAAAAAATATCTTACATTGTTACATTGTTTTATGCACAGCTTCTTTGTCAAGTGAAATTTCAAATATATGCATGTTTGAAAAACTTCAAGCTTTTCATTGCGAGAGTTATGAATCAATTTGAGAAGTAGTCATGAACGCATGTTGGAAAATTTAGCTAGAGAAAAATTCGAAATTGTTCAAGAAATTATGTTCATTGACGTTAAAGAGAAGTAGGATCCGCATTGTAGTAGCGTCGAAACGCGGACAATTCGAGAGTTCTGGAAGTGTAAACATTTTCTAAGAAAGAAGCGATAAGGGCATGTTCCGTGAGTCATCATGAGTAAGAGGGGCTAGCGCATGGTTCAAATTCTACTGAGATTTACAGTACAAGGAAAAAAATTCGTTTGATGCATTTGTGGAGATGAGTTGTCATGGCCTTTCCTCAAAAAATGCACTCTTGTAAAACAGTATTCACTGTGACGAGTAATGAAGCATTACTTGTGGAAAAAGGACTCTCTATTTTGCGTCTCTATTTTACCTCAAACTGTGACTGAGAGTGAATGACGAGGTAGCGAATGTTCACAGATTGAAATTGTCCCATGCAGTCCCATCGGCATATGGAAGAAATAAACCGTAAGTGGAGTCATAAAGGTAAAAACTTGCCGACTACCGTTAGAAAAACTTGTCCCTCTCAATGAGGCGTAGCAAAACTACACAGTTACCGACAGTTGCTGTTCCTAACAGTAAGAAAACTCTGTCAGCAGACTTTTTAGTCTTATTAGAAAATGCATAAAACTATAGCACCGATTATGGGAGTCAAAGTGAGCGGATAAGTAAGAAGTAGAAATCTGAAAGAGAAAATGTGTAACGCAAACCAAGCAGCATTTGCGCTAGAT